GAAGCTGGTGCAGAACGCTTTTGCAATTTGGGGGGGCAAGACATGGCAGGACAAAGTATAGACCTTTGCTGCAACGAGTTTTGGGCGCCTGAGTGGTCTAATTGGCGCAGTTTGCAGACTGGAAAAGAGACTGCTTTCCTGCTAATTTCAGGTTCCAAAACAGTCAGCGGGGTGGAAAAGACAGTTTTCTGATGCATGTTCTTTTGATGGATTCCTTAGGCTTCTGGGAAGATCGACATCGCCGGAAACGAGCAAACTACCCTGCAATAGGGTGAGAAGACTGACAAAAACCTGTGTTCCCCTTCTGGGTCCTCCATTCTTCCCAGTTTGGGAGAGGTTGCTTTGCACAGATATCCGGAGATTGGTCGAATGCATATTTCTACCAGTCAGTTGCCAAAACGAGTCTAGCACTCGAGTCTTTGAGGTCCACATGGAGAGGTGCTGGGGCCTTCAGGACAGAAAGAACACCTTTTCAAGGGCATGACTACAAGCAGCTAGAAGCTAGTAACAAGGGCATCCCTACTAGTAACAAGGGCATTACTACAAGTAGCTAGAAGCTACTAGTAACAAGGGCATCGCTACTAGTAACATGAAAGAACTGTTTTCAGTCTTGTGGACCGTTTTGAATGCTGCGAGGCAACAAAGGTTGACGACGCCAGGGATGGTACTCGTAGCACCCGACTTCACAGGTCACCACCTGCGATGATTCTTTTCGGGGTAAAAAACCAACCGTGCATGCACGCCTTCAAAAGTATCTACAAAGGCCACCTTCAAAGTCCACAAGTTGTTTGCTCAGACCCGAAAACCACGATAGAAAACACGCTCGGGCAGCTCGGATATCGAGCAACTGGACTTCCGAGGAGTGTCAAAAGATGAGGGCCTCGGTTTGTCCATGTTTGGCCACCTGAAACCCAGTATCAAAATCAATCAGTCCTAGATGTTAACATAATTATGCTGTATTAGCTTTACATGAATATTATCAGCTATCCTGCGTCCTACCTAGGAGCTTACCTCCTTACTCAATTAAGTCAGGAGGGGCGCAGAGCGGCTAAAAAGCTCTTAATGCTCCCATGGAGTCGACTGTGGCCTTCGCCTGCCAGTCTGTCGCTGCGGGATCCGAGAATCGCAATAGCTCATGAGTCTTAAAGGGTTGGTGAACAAGAAAGACCTTACAGGAGGGCTTCTCGAAAAGCATCGCAAAGACATGCATGTTGGATGCACGGAGACGGCGGGATAGCACGGTATATAGACCATATTCAACAAAGAAGAAACACATCCCTTGCAGACTTCTCAGTATACCGTATATACCTATGAAGGATGATACTGGGCTGTTAGTAGAGTTGAACAGTTGATCTAAAATAACCTTTGACTCCACACTCACCACATCCCGCTACCTTAGTTGGCAGCTCAGTATTTCTGGCGTCGTGGCGGATTTTGCTGATTCTTGCGGGTGAATCCACATGCTTGGTTCAGACCCAGACCCGGAATCAGAGTGGGGTGTTCCAAATCAAGGTTAGGGCTATGCTTGTTCTTGCCTTCTACCAGGGTCAAGGAGTATCAAGGAGTCCTGCTTGCCGTTTGCCAGGACTCAGGCTGAGAGCAAGCGACTGGTCAGGAAGCGATGAACTAGAGCACATGTTGTCATGGCCTTGCAGTCTTGCAAGTTTCTCCAAGTTTTATCAAGTTTGTGCTATTAGGTTGGAGGCCATCGCTATTGGGGTTGGAGGCCGTATGTGGGGTTACTTTCCCTCCAAAAGGCGCTGGGCCATCGTGGAGCACGCGTTCCCACGTGGGGCATCTGGCCCGAGGCTGCAAAACAAAGCCCCGCAAAGGGGCACTCCTACTAGTAAGGACAGGAGCCCCGTTCGTAGCGTCCTTGTTCGACGCAAAGTGGGGAAAGACCCCGGGTCGCACGGGTCACACGGGTCACGCCATGTTTACATGACAAGTGGCTTTTTGTTCGTTCACTTCAGCAGGAGAGTTCTAAACACAACGGAAGAACCATGAACAAGTTGGAGCCAAATCTCAAGAGGAAGATCAACATGTTACATGTTGGTATATTTGTCATGTAGAAACTGCTGTGGAGTTGTGTAGAAGCTTGGCAATTGATACTGTCATCAAGATGTATATCCACGACATGGTCGGCATCAAACCCAAGATAGATGGAGACAATGCTGGCATGTTTGGCTTCTGTCGTTGTATTTTCATAGTAGCTTGGCTCCCTGCAGCAATACAATATAACAATGTCATAACCTCCACTGAGATCTATTTTTGAGCTTGGTGTGAAGAACCATGGGGACAAGGGTCAATGTCGATAGTTGACAGACGGTCCGAAAGCAGTACGCACAATGCGGGAAGAGCCACCTCGCCCTGCAGAGGGACCAGTTGGAAACCATTTTTGAAGGCCCGCTCCTATGATCTCATCCCGTTTGTACGTATATTTCAATATGTTTGTTCCTGGTTTCAACCATTTAAAACCCACTCAGTTTGGACACTATTTCTATGTGGAGAGAGGATTCCTGACTTGGGCCTTGAGACGCGACATGCTTTCGGAAGATGAGCCTTCGACCATCTTCGACCAATCAGACGAAGGACCAGGCCCAGGAGCCTTGCCTCAGAAAATATGCAAGTTTCTCTAAAAAATCTGGAAACCTTAGTGTGAGCGCTTCTTCAAGGAAGCTTCCCCCGCCGCCTTTAGGACGGGGGGAAGCTTCCTTGAAGAAGCATGAGCTATCCTGCGTCCTTCTACTAGCTACCTACCTAGCTACTACCTACCTCACCTCTACCGGCCTACCCCCCCAAAAAAAACAAAACAATTAGTGTGTTTGTGTGTGTGTCCAGGAATCCAGTTCCAGTTCTTCCAGTGGAAGAAAAAACTTCCAAATATCTAAATCTTAAGAGGTAGAAACCAAGTCTTTTGTTGGAAGAAGCATCACTCTCGGAAGAGACTCGCTGTATATGTTCCCGAACCCAAGGAAACTGCAGTCAGAAGAGCTTTTCTTTATGTCTGTTTACACAAAGCTGCACTATCAGGACGTCGACATGGATCTTAGTGTTGTCAGATGCAATCTCTATATAATACTTAATACCCTGCAGGTCCAAAACCTCATTTTACTGGAGCTGATGACATCAGGACTACTCGATGACATCACCAGGTTGGGACTTCAGGTCGTGAGACTCATCTTTCAGGCAGACTACCATCTTGTACCATAAGTCGATGAAATCGAACTGTCTCACCCAGACGAATCCGATGAAGCCGCTCGGCGTGGTATTCGGCATCACCGTCGTCCCGCCGTGGAAAGGCGTCACGGCGTGGGATTCACGGTCGCCCAGACACCTGGAGCGACGGCATAGCATGTCATAGAGTTGTGGCATCAGATCGATTTTTCACAGAGTTGGGCCTTGGAAATCTTTCTGGAACCATCAGGAAGCCTTTAGTTCTCAGCTTCTGGGACATGTTCAACTCCTGAAATCGTCCGCATCGCGGCCCGTCCGATCGCAGACATCTGAAAACGCGACACCAAAACAGAACCCAATGAAAAAGGAACCAAATAGCGATGTCCTCCAACCCTAATAATTAGCGATGGCCTCCAACCCCAATAGCGATGTCCTCCAACCCTAATAG